GTTTTCAGCTTACAGTAGACAAAAAGGCTTGTGAGGACAAATCCAGCCAAGGGATCCATCACAGCAAAATAAAATAGGGGAGATTTTCTTCAAGATTAGTGGACACACAAACTAAAAAAGCACAGAATGCAACCACTGAAGATAGACTGCCAGGTGTTTTGAAGATAGCACTGGGCTAGTTATTTCATATAGTAAGCTTCTGAAGTCATCACAAAGAACTCTGTACTATTACTGTTGAGAGTTTACTATACTGACATAGCTGTGTATAGTGTGCTCTTTAAGAAGGGAAGACATATATACAATTTTGCTTTTTAAAAAAATGTTTGATGCTTGAAAGGTGGTTTGAAGGGTTAGTTTCAACTCTTTGGAAGAGATAACAGGCAAATGCACCTATTGCTATTTCAAAATCAATACACTGCTCGATCTTAATTTTTATCTCTAGTAAGATTGAAGGTTGAAAAATTATCCTGGAGTTTTGAATGTGAGCAAGTGTTTTCTTGTTTCATTAATAGTACTTTGTAAGTAGCAATTTTCTGGATCTGTTTTTGTATTATACTTTGTAGAAAGGAGATTTATTTACTGGTCTTAACTACCTAAATAACGTCTTTCTTTTTTGGGGAGGGGGGGGTACCACAATCAAACTCAGGACCTTACGCTTGCAAGGCAGGCAGCAGAACCACTGAACTAAATCCCAGGCCCCTTCTTTTTGTTTTTGAGACAGGGTCTCGCTATGTAGTTCAGGCTGGTTCTAAACTCACTGTGTACTCCAGGCTGGCCTTGAACTTGTAGCGATCCTCCTGCCTCAGCCTCCCAAGTGCTGGGATTACAGGCGCATGCCACCAGGCCTGGCCTTAAATAATATTTCTAATGTAAATTCCAACCTAGGGGTTCCAAAAAAATAAGTACATTTCATGTATTACAGATGGGTGGAGGAGGAAAGCCACAGAGTATTTGGGGTTAAAGCAGCCAGAAGCCGATTTGATTTACTTGTCTATCCAGGCTTCTAAATTGCTTCTCAATTCTTTCCACATCTTTCTAACCATTTTTTCTTATACTTAACTTTTCTAAGTGCTAGGGGCCTAACTACTGAAAACAAACTCTGGGTTTATAAAACTCCACTTTCATTTTCCTGGAAGCCAAATCACCCGCAGTCTTGCTTGCCTAGATGTGAAGTATCGCAGTGGTAACCCACCTGTCCAGAGGTCAGGTTTCCAGCACCCTCAGTCCTCCAGAGCATGGCTGCTGACCCTGAAATAAGCAGAGAGGCTGCTGAGCTCAGTGCAGGCTGAGCCCCGGCTCACCCAGCCCAGGACATAAACAAGGGCACAGTGAGAGGGAGGGACAGGCGTCCCTGGGGCTGTGCAGCCCCACTGTCCCCGTGCTTCCCTCAGAAGGTGGAGGGCTGTGGAAGTAACATCACCCAATCAGTTTAAGAAAGAAAAAGGAAGGCAGGTGTGGTGGCCTTCACCTGTAATCCCAGGATTCTGGGAGGCTGAGGCAGGAAGATTACAAGTTCTAGCCCAGCCTGGGCAATTTGATGAGGTCCTGTGTCAACATAAACAAAATTAAAGACTTGGGGATGTGGCTCAGTGTGAAGGCCCTGGATTCAATCCCCAGGACCACAAGAGAGAGACAGGGTGGAGTGCGGGCGGGGCAGGAGGAGAGTCCAATTAGAATGTTCATTTTACTGCAGCAGAAAAGTACATTGCAGCATGATTTCCATTGAGAATGATGAAGTTTGTATGTTAATTGGTTGGTTTGTTTTTTGTTTCTGTTTTTGATACAGGGTCTTGCTCTGCAGTTCAGGCTGGCCTTGAACTCACCATGTAACCCAGGCTGGCCTCAAACTAGAGGTGATCCTCCTACCTCAGCCTTCCAAGTGCTGGGATTATAGGCATGAGCCACCACCACGGTTGGATTTTTGAGACCGCAGTAGTCTTATACTGTATCCTAGGCTGGCCTCCAACTCTAGATCCTCCTGCCTCAGCCTCCCTGAGTGCTGCGATTACAGACATGTGCCCTGTACCCCGCTTAATGGAAAGCTTTGTTTTGTTCTTGTAAACTTGAATCATGCATCTCATTAATATACATGGAACACCTCGTTCATTCCCCAGCAGTATTAAATGATGTCACTGTCTTAAATTGGGTCAGCAGACTTTTTCTGTAAGGACTGGAGAGTAAGTATTTTAGACTTTGTGGGCTGTAGATGTTGCAATTATACAACTCTCATTTTAGTTTGAAAGCAGCATGGACATCATCATAAGGGGATGGCAGTGTTCCCGTAAAAGTTTATTTAGAAAAATGGCCAAATTTGGCCACAGGGCCATGGTTTGCTGACCTTTCCACTAGGTGAGAAATAGCCTGTATGGATTTCATTTGCATTTTAAAACAATAATCTTATTTAGAAAATTATCACATAATGGTTAAAATATTTTTAGTGTTTAAAAAATAGCTCTCGGGCTGGGGATTTAGCTCAGTGGCACCACGCCTGCCTTGTAGGCGCAAGGTCCTGAGTTCAATTCCCGGTGCCAAAGAAATAAATAAATAATAAAAAATAAAAAATAGCTCTCTGGAAAATTTTGTCACACTGGATATTGGATAAGCTACTACTGAAGAGCCTGTCACATGTTAACGAAATGAGTTGGGTTTTTTTTGGTACCGGGAATCAAACTCGGGTCCTTGCGCTTGCGCAGCAGGCAGCGAAACCACTGAGCTAAATCCCTGGCCCCGAACTGAGATTCTTGATTTGAAGCCCCCATCACTGAAATCCAAGGCCTCAGCCATATGGCTGTAAACTCTGTGCGGCTGTGTAGCTTGGGTAAGTATTCTTACAGAATGTCACCATCTTGATGATGTGATTTACAGGTCTGAGAAAGAACCCCAGTTTAAGTTTATCTACTTCAACCACATGAACTTAGCAGAGAAGAGTACAATTCACATGAGGAAAACGCCCAGCGTGTCACTTACGTCTGTTCACCCCGACTTAATGAAGATTCTAGGTGACATCAACAGTGACTTTACCAGGTAGTTCTGGCTCAGATGAGCCATCCGTCCCCTTCCCGAGAGGAGACACTGAAGACACGTCTTCAGAGCTGTGACCCACACCCCCTTCAGGGGGCCCAAACCCGGCCACCTTCCAGGGCGCTGCCTCCAGGTGCACCCTAAACCTGAGGTCACAGTTAAGTCCAAGACACCCAAGCTTCTGGAGGGTCCGTCCCCATCCTGGTCCTTGTTTTGGGATGTTGGGTTTTTCTTTTCACTGTCTAGCTGTGTATGTAATACACTTGCCTTCTGAAACTCTTGTCTTACAGAGCAGATGAAGATGAAGAAATCATTGTGAAGGCCATGAGTGATTACTGGGTGGTTGGGAAAAAGTCAGATCAGCGAGAGCTGTATGTTATTTTGAATCAAAAAAATGCAAACCTGATTGAAGTCAATGGTAAACAGAATTTGGTATTTGAGCAGAATTTTAGTGTCATTGATTTTCTTTTAACTCCTTAGTATATTAAGCATGATAAACAGATCAAATGACTTGAAATTTTAAACCGATGCCTCCATTTGATGTTTTTCTGTACCCTGCAGTACAGGAAACTTGCCAGTAGTGAAAAGAAGATCATTTTTGATAATGCTAAGAAAAACCCCCTGGCTTTAAAAATACCCTTTCTTATACCCTGTGATGGAAACACTTCTGTACAGAGCCGCTGGGTCGAGTGGCAGCCCTGGCTGTCTGCACCTCAGCAAGACGCACTGCACAGGTTCCCTCCACCCCTGGCCACAGTGGCTGCTCCAGTCTTCCCCAGGTGTAGCCCACCAGCTGCTCTCGCCCTGGGGAAAGGGTGGTGCCCTTCACAGGGTTGAGCCGCTTGGCTGCTCTGCCTTGGACCTGGAGGGAGCAGCCTGCTGGTAGGGAGACACAAGGAAAGTGAGGCATGAGGGGTTTTTCTCCTCGATATGTTCAGGACTTATTACAATTTTCTCTTCCTATTAATAGCTGCACCAGTATTTGTGTGCATTACAAACACCAGTGATATAGGCCTAATTTAAAATGAGAATTTAAGCTGAGTGTGGTGGCTCATGCCTGCAATCCCAGCACTCTGGGAGCCTGAGGCAGGAGGAGGGAAGTTTCAAGCCCAGCCTGGATAACTTAGCAACTTAGTGAGATCTTTGTTAAAAATTTTAAAAGGGAGGGGATGTAGCTGAGTGTGAAGGCTCTAGGTTCATTCCCCAGTACTAAAATAAAATAAAATGTGAATTTGGTAAAATCAAGATGACACCTCTGTGGAGCACTTGATCCAGCTTCAGGGTGGGTCCAAAGTTCCTGTGATACTCCATGAGGTTTCTCAAGATTGACGGTATCTTCCATGTTGGGTTCCTAGCCCCCAGCCTGTGGGCATCTCAGGCACAGTACCCTTCTCACTAAGTTGAGTTTCTGAGGCCCGGAGAAGCTGGGTTTCAGCATACTGGGGAGCGCTGAGCTCTTGTGGGTTAGGTATCCCCAGCTCCAGATCTGTTAACATTTTTGCGTAGGCTTCTAGAATTTCAAGTCAAAATCAATCCAGACATTTTGTTCCCAACTTTATTCCTGAAGCATTTGAAATACTAACATGTACGTATACTATAACCTTTTAAGTAAAAAGTCTCCGTTGCTCACACATTGTTTCCTGTTCTCTTTGCAGAAGAAGTAAAGAAACTCTGTGCCACACAGTTCAACAACATCTTCTTCTTGGATTGACTGACAGTGGCCCACGGAAAACATCTTTTCAAAAAACTCAGCGAACATTTTGTTTACCATTGCAAGTTACTGGTCATATTATTGACTGGATTAATGATAATAGTAAAGCAATACTTGCTTTGAAGAATCAAATTTCTACTCAGTCTGATGATCCCTTGAGGTTTTTAGATTTTAAATATTTATGTGGAATTGATTAAAGACAGTCAGCTATATATCATTCCATTCTTTTGACATTATGTGAACATTTTACTGGAAAAGAAGACTAATAAATTCTTAAAAAGTTTTTAAAATTTTGATTTTTGCACTGAGTCTCTTGTGTTACTGGTTTGTAGTTACACTGGCCGCTGGCTCCCTGGCTCGTGCCCTGGGGATTTTAAAACCTCAGTCAGCATTCTGCTAGAGCTGGGGTCCCTTCCTCACCCCTGAGACCACAAGAGCCAGGCACTTGCTCCAATAATTGCTAGACTTTGTCTTCAATGCTACGTGGGACTTACAGACCACATCTATGACAGAGAACTCAGATTACCCAATGTCGAAACAAGTTTCCTCATTGTTCCAGGGACTCCTGAGGAGCCACAGTGCCGAATGTCTCCTCACTGGGGAGATAAATTCTGGTTGCATTTTACTTAATTTTTGGTGTGGGTGAAAAAGTGACTCTCCAGACCCTTTCATCTAATCTCTGTGGGCCTTATGTCAGGGAAGAGGAACAACTTCATCAGTTTGTAGAATTTTCATTGCTCCTAGATGATCCTGAGTTTCCATTATGATTTCCTCTATTCCTTATGATTACAGAGTTTAGTTGGTTGGTTTTGTGGTACTGGGGATTGAACCCAGAGGCTTCACATGGAGCTACATCCCCAGCGCTTTTTTAATTTTTTAAGACAGGGTTTTGCTAAGTTGCTGAGTTGCCCAGGCTGGGCTTGAACTTGCAATCCTCCTCCCTCAGCCTCCCAAGGTGCTGGGATTGCAGGTGTGCACTACCACACCAGTCAAAGGCTGTGATTTTGAGTTTCAACTCACACTGGGCTTGGTCTGTTTTAAAATATATTTCTACTGCTAGTGTGGAAGTTTTTGATTATTATGTTGGGGTTTTTTTGGTGGTTACCCTTGAACTTTAAATTTTAACTATAAAATTTTCTGGCAGAGACTAAAAGCGTTCTTTGAGCCACCCACTGACCACCTGCTCCTTTTCTTCTTGCTGCTGTGTTCTGTTTTTCAAATGGGACAAAGAGTGCAGTGGGTATCTGTGGAAAAGGACCAGGGGAGGCCGCGTGCGGTGGCGTGTGAGGGACACAGGGCCTAAACAGGACACAGAAGACAGAGGCAGCTGAAGAGATACTCCAAAACCTTTCTCCTAGCCCCACTGCCTCTGCTCTGTTCTATCAAATTTTAAACTTCATCACTACTGGACTTTGACTTTATAAACATATTTAATCCACATTCATTAGTGTGCGTGTGTGTGTGTGTGTGCGTGTGTGTGTGTGTTTGCCCGATTTTTCAAAATGCAGGCCTCGGCGGCAGTCGGCTGTGTGAGACACCTGGATGCAGCAGACCAAGGCAGGAGTGTTTCGGACCATGAGAGCAGAGGTAAAATTCAGTTTTCTCATGAGTCCAGTGTCATGGCGCTCATGGGTCTGAGCTTCTCTGTTTGCCGATCCTTGTGGCCAGCCTGCAACATCAAGCACCTTTACTTCTTCTTCTTGCTTGGGGTGGACTTGGTGGCCTGCGACACCGCTGCGTCCTCTTTGGGGGGGCTTGCTGTGAGGGGTGGTAAGGAGGACGGGAAGCCCATGGGCTCCTTGATGACCGTGATGTCGATTTCGACATCTTGTCTCTTGGTCTCTTCCTCCCTTAAGATACTCAGCCTAAGAGGCAAAAACAAGAAGTTAGCTTTATTTTTCTTTTAAATTCCCAAACCAGCTCTAAGCTGGTAAGTAAAATCATTCAGTCCTGTATGTCAGCAGTGCTTGTGGTGCCTGCCCCTTTGTCTGGCAGTGCACCCTTCTGCAGAAGCAAAGTCTACTTTGCCAAAAAACTAAGAAAAAAAAATCCAAATAGTACTTGTGAGCAAAACTGTAAATCACCCTTGCTTTGCCTGAATTTAGGGAGTGAAGCCCTCTGTCGAAAGCCCAGATCCAGCCTTTGTGTATCTAATGTGATCTGTGCAGCATTCTGTGCCTTTGTGAACGGCCTCTGGGATAAACTCCCTCTGCCACGGAGGCCAGGGACCCACATGGCCACACAAAGCTGAGCCCCCACGTTGACCCTGCAAAGGTGAGCTCCCACTTCTGGGGCTGACTGCATCCCAGGCCTGTGCCTGACACCTGCAAACCCCACGAGGTGTCATCTTCCTGTACAGGTGAACAGATGGAGGTGCACAGTGCAGGACAGACCCTCCCTGAGGTCCTGCATGACCAGGTGGCAGCGCTGGATTTCAGCCTGGACAGACTTGGTCTGGGGCCTGTGCTCTTGGGCACACTTCCTGTTATGTCTCCATGCGAGCTTCTGGAGAGGATGCACTCACTGCTTAGACACCGAGCACAGCCTCGGCAGCCACAGGGACCAGGTGAGGACTGTCTCCCCACAATGCTTCTGACAGAGGCTACAAGGCTTTCTGCCCACGCGCACCAACTGTCCACCACCAAGAGGATCCCCCATTCTGTTCACTTGCATTGTCTGCCTGGGGTTCACACAGAACCCACTGTGCCACCCCACCCCAGATGCCCATAGTAAGTCTGGGCCCCTAGTTCTTGTGACCGACAGGCTATGAATTGCAAGTGCCTGTGAACCCCTCTTCAGGTTCCACAACATGCTAGGATGGCTCACGGTACTCAGGAAAACACATATTTACTGGTTTATTTTAAAGGATATTATAAAGAATAAAAATGAGCAGCCATGCCAGGTGTACTGGCACACGCCTACAATCCCAGCACTTTGGGAGGCTGAGGCAGGAGGATGGAAGTTTCAAACCCAGCCTGGGCAACTCAGTGAGACCCTGTCTCTAAAAATGGCTGGAGATACAGCTTAGCCTGAGGGCCCTGAGTTCAATCCCCAGTACAAAAAACAAAACAGAAACCAGCCAGATGAAAAGGGTACGGTCCAGAAGTGTTTCAGCACAGGGGACTCTGTCCTTGCAGAGCTTGGGAGGCACCCTCCCGTCTCGAGGATGTGTTCAGCAGCCAGGAACTCTGCAGACCCGTACTGTCCAGTATTTGTGCGGAGGTTCCTGTGGAGGCACGAACGACTCCACCGTTGGCCACTAGCAGTGAAAAAGCCTGCACCCCACCCCACCCCCAGTGGCCAAGGGGTGAAGCGGAAGTCCCAGCTCTCCAAGCACAGCTGGGCCCTCTGGGAACCAGACTGGCCACACCCTACCTTGTGCAAAACCATCTGTGGTCCCGCCCCTGTCACCTTATTGGCTATCAGTGCACAAAAGACACTCTGGTGCATCCAGAGCTGCCAGAGTCTGAGAAGCTCTGGTGTCTGGAAGCAGGCGCTAAGGCCCAGCATTGCAAGAAAAGATGCTCCTATCCCTGCAGAAGCTCTCATGGCTTTGGAAGCTATGGTGGAGCACAAGGTGGATATTTATTGTTTTGTCTGTTTGTTTCTAGGGACTGAATCCAGGGCTGAGATACTTCTTAGCCCTTCTTCATTTTTTATTTTAAGACAGGATCTTCCTAAGTCACTGAGGTGGGACTCAAACTTGCATCCTCCTGCTTCAGCCTCCCAGAGCACTGGGATTATAGGTGTCACCACCATGACCGGCTGTCTTTCTTTCTCAGGTCACAGACACTATGCGATCCTGATGCTTCTGGCAGAAGTCAGAAAAGCCAGCTGAGCACATGCCTCGGAGGAGGGGAGCCTGACACCCGTACCTTGCGTCCAGTTCTTCATTCTCTGCCTTCCTCTGCTGAGCCAGCGCCACCTCCTTCAAGCGCTGCTCCTTCACCTTCTGCTGGAGCATCTGCCGGCGTCCGTGGGCGTGGAAGAGGGTGTTCACAAAGAAGGCGTGCACGGGACTCTGCCGCGTGGGGAGCTCTTCCCTCTGGTCCTCCTCGGACTGTTCACGCTGCTCTAGAATAAAGTCGCATCCCAAGAAGCATGAATGCTCTCCTGCCATGCGCGAGGAGGCCGCCACACCTGCTCTGCACGGTGGGGCACACGGGGCACACAGGCCTTTCCGGGTGGTGAGGGTGGAGGGACTGCAGAGCACATCGGGCGGCCACCGGGGCGAGGTGGGGGTGCCGTGGACACCACTGTGATTGTCAGCGCTGCCCTGGAGCTGCCTACCTGTCCTCTTTTCTTAAATAGCTTAGGTATTTTGGTTTTTGAAGTGACAATGTCAGAAGCTTGGTCTTCCATGTATTGGGGAAAAACCTCTCTTGGCTCTTGTCTGCTCTATCTTTGGCTGGATTTTCACTTGGAGCTGCATAAGAAGGTCAGTGGATTCTGTCTCTGCCTGGGCTCTCCATTAGAGGAGGTGAGACCAGGTGCCATGGGAAGGGGATCTGAGTGGTCCCTTCTCTGCCTGCCACTGCAGGAGCCGATGTGATGGGCCTTGAGTAAAAGAGTAGGAAGAACCACGCTGCCTGATGCCAGCACCGGTGCTCAGAGACTAACGGGGACCTTCACGTGCGCCCGTCATGGACCCTGTCAGGCTCAGGCTCGGGTGAGTGTGGTGCACAGAGGTGCGGGCAGCAAGTGGTGCAGACAGCTCCGGGGACCGCTGCCCAAGGGCCCAGCACAGCCTCTGCTCCCTGCAGACCTCAGCTGTGTCCGCCTCAGGGCCCAGCTGTGCCACTCCTTAGCAAGCCGAGCGAGGCAGCAGCTCTGCCCAGTTTCTTCATCTGCAAAAGGGGAGCTATGACCATACCATCCTCAGAGAAGTGGCGTGAAGGCTGGATGCCTCAGTACAAGGGAACTCTGAGCTCCCCGGACACGTAGGTGCTTGGTAATCCTGAGGTGGAAAAGTCTGCTTAAAGGGCTGAAACCGCAAACTTAAGGGGGCAAGGATGGAATGGACTGCTACAGATTTGCAAGAAATGAAAATCTTTTATGAAAGGTAATTTTCTGAGTGCGATCCCTAACTTGAAGACAAGCTTGTCCATTGTATAAAACAGTAGATTTGTACAAAAAAGTATTTACTGGTTATCTGTTATGTACAAGGCCCTGTTCCGAGCATTGCAGGAAATACAGCAAGTAAAAATATCTGCCTTTCCTAATGCAGTCAAAATGACCTTGACATTCTGGTGCACACCCTATTAGCTGCTTCTTGTACTGCTTTTTGGAAGGATTGAATCACTCTCTAATAGCACCTGAAATGCATGATTGAAAATACTTTTCTCTCATATCAGTATTTTCTCTTTTCTTTCTTTTTAGGGGGTCTAGGGGATTGAACCCAGGATCTTTTCACTGAGCTACATCCTCAGCCCTTTTTTGATTTTTCATTTTGCGACAGGCCCTTTCCAAGCTGCCCAGGCAGGACCCAAACCTGACAGTCCCTCCTGCCTCAGCAGCCAGAGTGCTGAGGCTCCAGGCCTGTGCCACCACACCCAGAACTGTTTGCTTTTGACAATCTTTTATTTCGTTGTTTTAATTTGAATTTCTCTAGTTATCAGTGAAGTTGGGCATCTTAAAAAATACATTCATGAGTCACTTAGGTTTTAGGAAAAGACTTTTCCCTATTTTTTATCTTTTTAAATTCTTAGTATCTTAAGAATGTTACCGTTTCTCAGCTTTTTCTCAGTTTGTTTGACTTTAAATTTTGTTCTTGGTTCTTTTATCAAAAACTGATTTTTAAGTAGTCAATTTTAACAGTATTTTTCTTTATAGTTTTACTTTGGTTTTTATACTTTACAAAGGACTTTTCAACCCTAAGTATATAAATGTTCACCTGTATATACTTCCAGTTCTTATGGTTCCAATTTTTACCGTAACAACTCTTTAATCCATCTGAATATTTTCCCCAAGCTCTGCCAATCCCAGCACCATTTATTAAGCAATACCTCTTTACTAGGGAGAAATAAACTTTATTACATATATAAAATACTTACGTTTGTGCTTACTATCGTCTGCCTATTTTTTGCCAGAACTAGTTGTACTTACTGCAGCTGTACATTTTCAGTATGTTTTAATATCTAGAACCAAAATTATCCTCTTGATTTCTTTGTATAGTCTTAGATCTGTTTCTGCTTTTTCACTTTTTTCCAGATGAACACCATGATCATTTAGTCAAATTCATAAAACTACTGGGATTGGGATTACTTGGGTTGGAATTAAACCTGTACAGTATTTTGGGGAGAGTCTACCCTGCTACAGTACTGAGTGTTGCCAGGTAGGTGAGATTTCTCTCTATTCCAGACTTTTCTAAGATCTGTAAAGTTCAGTACTCTGGGTTTTTTAAATTGTAAACTGACAAATATATATAACTGTAACCCTTTTTTATATGTTGCCCCCATATATACATATGTATACACATATATGCATACATATACATACATACATACATACATACATACATACATATATACATATGTAAACCTTCCTAGTAGTTTTCTCTTCTTTTTTTTGGTACTGGGGCTCGGACTTGGGATCTTGTGCTTGCGAAGCACACAGCGGAACCACTGAGCTAAATCCCCAGCCCCCGAGTAGTTTTTATTATAGAATTTCTCTTGGCATTGTAGTAGTTCTGGTCATTTTCCCAGGTTTGAAGATTTTTTTTTTGGTACTGGGAATTGAACTCAGGACCTTAAGCTTGCCAGGCAGGTGTGGCACCATTTAGCTAAATCCCCGGCCCAATATCTTTTGAATATGTGGAAATTTTAAGTCTCCTCAGTTGATGAAACTGTTCTCAAAGTATTTGTCCTGTTGCTTTAGTGTCTTTTAGGGAACTCCTATGATGTTAAGACTTTTTTTATTTTTTAAGCTATTTTTCATCTCTGTTACTTTCTGGGGGTTTTTGTTACTAGGGATCGAACTCATGACCCTGGGCTTGTGAGGCAGATGCGGTGCCATTGAGCTAAATCCCCAGGCCTGTTACTTTGTCTTGAAACTTTTTTCTTTTTGATTTCTGAATGTTCCTTTTCAGTCTCTTGCCTCAGCTGATAAGAAAGATGCTTGTAAAGTTTCATAACCTGAACATAAGTTATAAGCCACAGGTCATAAATATTATAGTTCTACAGTTAAAATACTCACCATTTTCAGATAAAAAAGCCAGGCCTTTCCCTGCAGGCTTAAAGTTCATTTTGGAACTTCTGTCATCACAGAGAGACTTCTTGATCTGGGGCTTTTGCATTTTAAAAAATCATAAAGCAAAATATTACTTCTATATCATTATGGATTAAAACTAGATTTTTACATTATAAATAATTAGAAAATCGAAGCCTTTCCCTTTGAGCTGATTTAACTATTTTTAACCTGCATAAAATATTGAGACATATTACAGAGAGAAATAACAGTTACTGCATCTACTGAGAGACTCTGCTCCCTCCCACCCCCAAAAGCCCCCAGATTTTTAAATCTTCCCTGGATCTGCCAGGAAATCATTTATTACATGTGAGAAGCCCAACCTAGCTTCACAGACCCATGGGTGCACCATCATATCTATGTTGTAGCCCTTCTCTCCGGCTAGAGTTCTCCCTTGAAAGGCAGCCCTGTCTCCCCCGTCACACAAGTAACAACTGTGTCTCTGCAGTGGCCCAGAACAAACACTTTGGCCTCAGCTTTGCCCTCCAGTTCCCACCACACCCCACCCTCCCAAGCCCCTGGGTCTCTGTCACCATTGCCTCCTCCCCGGGACAGCTCCCAGAGCTTCCGGACCAGGTTGTCACCAGTGAAGCCAGAGGCTGCTTCCCTCCCATTGGGCTCAGGGTCAGCCACATGCCCTTCCGTCACCCCTACCTGGGGAGCGTGAAGAGTCCTGGGTTTGCTGGCAGGTGCCAACCCCCGGCTCTGGCACTCTGGCTGTATCGGCAGGGCCATGAGGGAGCCAGTCTGAGCCACTCCCTCCTACAGCTCACAGGGTGCTCAGCTGATACCTGGGAAGCGCCCGGCCTGGCAAAACCCCACTGACTGAGCCCTGCTGTTCGCTTGCTAAGAGTCTTCCTCTCCCATCAGCGCATGAGGTCCACCAGAGACAGGCTGCCCTCTACTGCTGGCCCCACAGCTGCACGACAGCACTCTCTGCTTGCTCTCTTTTGTTTTGTTTTTTGGTGGTACTAGGGATTGAACCCGGGCCCTGCACACTGAGCTGCATCCCCACCCTTTTTTGAGACAGGGTCTCTCTAAATTGCCCAAGCTGGGCTCAGACTTGCAACCCTCCTGCTCAGGGTTCCAAGCCTGCACGACAGCTCTTGACGTGACATACCCTGACAGTGCTCACCACTACAGCTGTGAGAGGTGACTGTGACATGACAAGCTGTAAATACAAACCTCAGATTTCTGTGTTTTGCAATCAGACGAGATTCCTAACTTGCTCGAAGAAGACTTGGTGCGGCTGAAGTGAATGATGTCTGACTCCTGGCTTCTGACTGCATTTGGACTCCTGCTGTGGACGCCCTAAGCAAGGACAAGCACAGAGAGGGAGTCTGGCTTCCAGAGAGGTACGTACATGTCTGTATGCAGTCACATGTTTCTTTAATGAGGTGAACTACACATGAAGCATACGGTTTGAGGCTTTTTGTTTGTTTGTTTGTTTTTGGTACCGGGGATCAAACTCAGGACCTTGAGCTTCCGAGGCAGGCGCCAGAACCACTGAGCTAAATCCCCAGCTTGAGTTTGAGTTTTGACCTGTGAAATCATCACCTCAGTCAAAACAGTGAACATAGACAGGCATGGTAGTGTATGCCTATAATCCCAGCACTTCGGGAGGCTGAGGCAGGAGGATCTCGAGCTTGAGCCCAGCTTGAGCAAATTAGCCAGAACCTGTTTCAAAAAATAAAAAGGGCTGGAATGTAGCTCAGTGTAAAGGCCCTAAGTTCAAAGGCCCTCAGTGTAAATAAAGGCCCTCAGTACCACACACATGCACATGCACATGCATGCATGCAGGCGACTGCTGATTTGCTTTCCGTCAGTACACACTACTTTGCAATTTCTAGAAGTTTATATAACTGACCATGCACTACGCACCCTGTCTTGCCTGGATTCTTTCACCCAGCATAACTGTTTTTAGATCCACCCATGGGTGGCAGGTGTCATGGATGGTTTTCTTACCGAGCCATCCTCCCTGTACAGATAGAATATGGTCTCTTCAGCTTGGTGGGCTATGTGCAGATTGACTACTGGATTTGTTTTATGACCCAGGATAGGGTCGGTCTTGGTAATTAGTTCATGTATACTGGGAAACAGTGAGGATTCTGCTGTTGCCATTTAGATAAAGTTGCTTCATTGTGTTATTTAAATCTGACACTGATATTCCATCTGTTTGCTCTATTAATTAGAGCAAGGCTGAATCTCTAATTATGGATTTGTCTATTTTCTCTTCCTTTTAATCAGTTTCCACATGTACTCTGAGGCTTACCCACTTAGGTTTATGTCCTGTTACTTAACTAAGCACTTTATCACCATGAAATGACACCCTGTCCCTGTCATCCTTTACTCTGAGATCTTTTTTGCCTAATATTGATGATGTGTGGTACATCACTTTCTATACTTTTTTCACCTATTTTTGTCTTTATATTTGAAGTGGGTTCATTGTAGACATTTGGGGGGGGGGTACCGGGGATCGAACTCGGGTCCTTGCACTTGCGCAGCAAGCGGCGAAATCACTGAGCTAAATCCCCAGCCCCCATTGTAGACATTTTAAAAGTTAGTCTTGATTTTTTTAAACCTCTCTGGCAACCTATACTTTTTATTTAGGATGTGTACACCATTTCCATTTAAAGCCTTGGGGCTGTTGTCATCCTTCTGCATATATTATTAACCTCACAAACACTGTTATCCTTGCCTTAATCAGTAAACTACCATTAAAAGAGTCTTTAAAAAATTTAAGCTGTGCATGGTAACATACATCTAATCCCAGCACTCGGAGCCAGAGGCAGAGGCAGGAGGATTGCAAGTCTGAGCCCAGCTGGGGCAATTTAGCAACTCATTGAGACCCTGTCTCAAAATAAAAAAACAGAACAAGGTTGGGGGTGTAGTTCAGTGTGAAGGCCCAGTACCACCAAAAAATTTAATTTTATCCACAAAGTTACTATCCCATGCTCTTCCTTTCTTTGACTAGATCTAGATTTCCATCTGGTGACATTTTCCTTTTGCTTGAAGGACTCCCTTCACTGCCCCTTACTGTGGCTGGTCTTCTGATACTGAATTCTTTATCTCATCTTCAGTTTCTGTGTGTATGTAGTACTGGGGATTGAACCCAGGGAGTGCTGAGTTACTTCTCCAGTGCCTTTTTTTCCTGCCTTCAAATCTACAGTTACTCAATTTTTAATTTTTATTAGTACATGTTTGAAGTATATAACTCATCCCTTTCATTATTTTGAGATACAGTCTTGCCGGGGATTTAGCTCAGTGGTGCCACCACCTGGCTCAAAAGCACAAGGTCCCAAGTTTGATCCCTGGTACCCCCGCCCGGCCCCCCAAAAAAGAAAAAAAAGAAATAGGAGATATGGTCTTGCTAAATTGCCCAGGCTGGCCTCAAACTTTGATCCTCCTGCCTCAGCCTCCCATGTAGCTGGGATTACCGGTGTGCCCCTGCATGTCTGGTTCTCCGTTTTTTATATTGTGATACAGTATGTATGGGAATGCACCACCTGAACCATATTTCATTGCAACGTTTTGTGGCACTGAGTACATTCACAGTTGTATAATCACCATCTGTCGCAGTGAGCAGCTGCAGGTGTAGACCTGAGTCAGTCACCAAGAGGCCCAGAGGGGCTGCGCTAAACTGAGTGCCCAGCCATTAGGCTGGTGAAGAAAAGGCCACCACGCCAAGAACCCTCTGGCTTTTATTTAGAATCTCAGTGTAAGAGAAGAAAACGGGAGAAAAGCAGTTTGGGCCCGGAGCTGTCTCAAGGCTGGCAGTTTTTCTTGGGGAAAGGAGAGGAGCATGGCCAGACACGACACGCCTTCCTAAGGTGAACTTCCTGTTTGACCAGTGGACCCTCACAGCACAGTCAGCTCTGAACACATCGATGGGTGAAGCCACTGACGAGTTCAGCACCCCAGGCCCTAGTCACCTCCGAACACCTAAGACTTTTGGGGACATTGTATTTTGTTTTGTTTTTTGTTTTTGTTTTGGTACCAGGGATCGAACTTTGGTCCTTGCGCTTGTGCAGCAGGCAGCAAAACCACTGAGCTAAATCCCCGGCCCTTGGGGACATTTTAGATGTACACCACATCACTGTTTTCCACCATGGCTGCACCATTTTATATCCCCCACAGTGGTGCACAAGGATTCCAGTTTCCCTCCCCCTCCCCAACACATCATTCTTTCTTCTTGTTAGCAGCCATGTTAACAGGCATGAAGCAGAATCTCACTGTGCTTTTGATTTGCATTTCCCTAGTGACGAGTGGTGCTCAGCACGTTTCCCTGTGCTCACAGGCCATCTGTGTTTTCAAGTCATCTGCCCATTTTTAACTGGGCCAGTCTGCTGTTGAATTTCAGGAATGCTCTGTGTGTTCTATGCCCTAATCCTTATCAGATACATGGTCTCCCACACCATCCGCTGACAGTGCCTTTGATGCAGAGCAGTTTTTATTGTAGACCCCTTACAGGTTAACTTTGATTTCTGTAAAGCAGTCAGTCTGTTGATAGTGTCCTCTCACCCTGCAGGACTCCCTTTATGATCTCATGCAGGATAGGCCTAGTGGGAACTTATTCCCCCACTTATCTGTCAATGTCTTCATTTCTCCTTCACTTTTAAAGGTTAGTTTTTCTGAATATAGGATTTTTGGTTAACAGGGTTTTTTTTCCTTCAGTATTTTAAATATATCAGTGTACTGTTTGCTGGCCTTCAAAGTCTCTGATAAGAAATCTGATAACCTTTTGTTTTTTTAAGGAACATTAGGAATTAAGCTCAGGGCCTTTGCACTTAGCTACATCCCCAGGCCTGTGTTTTGAGAAAGGGCCTTGTTAAATCAGTAAGTTGCTCAGATTGTGCTTGAACTTGCAATCCTCCTGCCTCAGCCTCCCAAAGTACTGGGATTACAAGTGTACACCAACACACCTGATTTGAAATCTGGCCGTCTAGTCACTTCTCTCTTGACGCTTTGTCAAAGGATTCTTTTTGTCTTTCAACAGCTTGATTATAGTATGTCTAGTGTGGGTCTTTGAATTCATCCTACTTGAAGTTTGTTGAGTTTCTTGGATGTTTGTATCTGTGACTTTTGTTAAAATGTGGGAAATTTTGTTATTTTTTTAAAATCTCTGCTCTTTTCACTCTCATCTTCTAGGACTCACATAAGTTGCTCACTTGTTGGTGTTCCCTGTGTCCCTTAGGTTCTGTTCACTTTTTTCAATCTTTGTTCTTTCTGTACCTCAGACTTAACATTTCATTCATCTTAATTTCAAGTTGACTGATTTTTTTTTTCCAGTACTGGGGATGGAAGCCAGGGCCTCATTTATGCCAGGTAAATAGCCCAATTTCACTAACTCTTCGTTTTGCTCAATTTTGCTTTTGAATCCCACTGGTGATTTTTTTGTTCCCCATTTCAGATCTTGTATTTTTTAGCTGTAGCATTTTTTGGTGTCCTTCTTGAAACTTCTACTCTGTACATACATCACTTTCTTGACTTTCTTTACATCTTCCTTAGTACTCCCAATGTCTCAAAGACTTGTGTTTGAAAGTCTTGTAAATCTGCCATGTTTTCTGTTGGTTCACCTTTTCTTTTCAATGAGACACACTTCCCTGTTTCTTTGTGTATGTCTTGTTTTGTTTTGATACTGGGAATCAAACTCAGGGCCTCGTGCTTGCCAGGCGAGTCCTGCACCGCTAAGCTACATTCCTAGTGTCTTGTCTTTTTTTTAACTGAATATTTGAACCTAATAATGCAGTAACTCTAACTCAGATTCTCCCTTTTCTCTAGAATTTTCTGGGGTTTGTTGGTTTTGCTTTGTCTTTTTTTTTTTGGTACCGGAGATCAAACTCAGAACCTTGGGCTTTCGAGGCAGGCAGCAGCCCCACTGAGCTAAATCTTCGGCTTGCTTTGGCTTCTTGTTGGCTGTTGCTATGCTGAGGAAGAGCCTGCAGTGTAAACTGAAGGTCACCTCAGGCCGCTCTGGTACCTTCCTTTTTTCCTGGGCCTTTTGATTTACCCCACGTGTAGCTGCTTTTGAATATCTTAGTCCTTAGGGTCCAGCTCTCAAAATGGGGAAAAGAATGCGAAGCGTGAGAGCATGCTGGCCCTTTAAACACCCTGGAAATCACTTCCAGTAGAAGCTGAGGGGCTTGCAAAAAGGGGCTTGCCTGCCTCTGTGTCTGCACCTCTGTGATCAGGAGAAACCAGGGTCAGAAAAGAGACCCAAATACTTGGAGGACAGGGTCCTGTTGCCTCCCCTTGCTCCCTGCCGGCACAGCTGCTTGACACCTGAGCTAAGAGCTAGGACTGACCGAAAGTTGCCTTTCAAACTTGCTCCCAGAAGTTGCAGGCCTTCGAGAGACCCCAGAGTTTCCGGAGTTACATCAGATTCTGCTGATGAAAGTGTTCCCTAGGCGGGTAGATGACAGGTGCTTCCACTGCTGTCTCTCCAGAATCTCACTTCACCTTCACTTTTTTGAAAGGTACTTTTGCTGGGGGCTGAATTCCAGGTTGACCAGTTTGTTTTGTCTTCTAGTATTTTCAAGATGTTACTCCAGCAGAATAAGAAATCTGTCCCTCTGTACATTTTAGGTCTTTTATCTCTGGCTGCTTTTAAGATCTTCTCTTTATCGCTGTTTTAAAGCAGTTTGATTATGATGAGCTTTGATGTTGTTTTCATATTACTTCCCCTAGGATTTGTTGAGCTCCTGGATTTGTAAGCCTATGGTTTTCATAAATTTTGAAAATTTTTTTACATTATTTCTTCAAATAACTTTTCTGTTTCCTCCCTCCTGCTGGGATATATACACATAGATGCTTAATTTATAATGAGCTGAAAATATGTAAAAAATGCATGTAGTAGGGCCGGAGATTTAGCTCAGATGATTTCACCGCCTGCTGCACAAGTGCAAGGACCCAAGTTCGATCCCTGGTACCAAAAAAAAAAAAAATGCATGTAACTTACCAAACATCACTGCTTCACCTGTGCCACTTAAAACACGCTCAGAACACTTACCTTAGCCTATAGCTGGGCAGAATCAGCTAACACCAAGCCTGTTTGATAAGAAAGTATTGACTGCTATGTCCTTTGTTGAACACGGAATGCTGCAGAGTGCAGCACTGGATGTTGGTCCTCAGGATCATATGGCTGAATGGGAACCTGGCAGCTGCCATGGGCCAGCATGAGAGCCATGCAGAAAAACTCAAAGTACAGTTTCTACTGAATGCATATCACTTTTGCAGCATGAGAAAGTCAAAAAATTATAAGGTGAACCATTGTACATCAGGAACTGTGACAGGCTGCTGAAGGTCTTACAGCCCACTGATGCTTGCTTTATTTTGGTTTTTTTCCTATGTACTTTACTTGGATTGTTTCTGTTGTTATGTCTTCAAGTTTTCTAATCTTTCTCTTACAGAGTCTATAAGTTTATTCCATCCAGAATGCTTCTCATCATTGTTTCTCCTTAACACAGTCATGATTTCCTTGACCTTCTTGGAACACATGGACTATATCTAAGAAGAATTTGTCTACTCACTCTAACATCCATGTCGTTTCTTGTTTTTTGTTGACTGATTCTGGCCAGCCATATTTTGCTGCTTTCCCTAGCTGGTAATTTTGACCGAATGTTAGACACTCATGTGCCAAAAATTTTGGGCATTCCTTTAAAAATCTTTGTGCTTTATATAGAAATCCAGCAGTTAAGTCAGAAGTATGTTGGAAATAGTCTGATCCTCACCAGTTGATAATCTTTGTTAGGTTAACACACAGTGACGCAGTACACCATGCACTCAGTCCAGTGGCCCTGTGTCAGCCAGCTTTCTCTCACCAAGGCAAAACACCTGAGATGAATCAACCTGGAGAAAAGGCTTATTTTGGCTCATGGTTTCAGAGGTTTCGGTCCTTGGTCACTTGACCCCACCGTGGCACAGAACATCATGGTGGGAGTGTATGGGGGAGGAAAGCTGCTCATCTAGCGGTGGCTGGAAGTCAAAGAGGGAAAGGGCCAGAGCCCCCGTATCCCCTGAGTGACCTAACTTCCTCTAAGCAGGCCTCACCTCCTAAAGGTTCTGCCCCCACTTCCAGTAGTGTCATAGGCTGAGGACTGAGGCTTGAACACCTGTGCCTTTGGGGGACATTTCAGATCCAAATTATAGCACTGTTACACATTAGAAGGATTTTCCACTTCAGCTCTTGGGAATGCAAACCGTTTCCAGCCCCATGTGCATCCCAGGGACGATTCCACTTCTTTCTGGAGGCCCTTTCCTTGGCCCCAAGAGTTCCCTACATGCATACACATATTGGTACACACAGCCAATGATACAAGAGGTGACAGCTTTTCCAGATGTCTAGAGCTTATGTGCCCTCTCTGTGGCCTCCCCTAAATTACTGGGAACCTGTAAAGTTGCTGTGAGTGAGCAAAAGACTGGGCTTTCTTAAATTTTAAACTGACTATTCCCAAATTTTTCATCAAAAGGGATCAGTGATAAGAGTTGGAACATGACATGAATTTTCCATTTCCGGAAAAGAATAAGGGGAACTAACCCCTGGACCCAATTACTATAATGCATTATAAAAAGAACAAAGAAACTACATGGTCCACAGTGCCGCAAACAAAAGAAACTGCAGAGTGACACTGGAAACTGGGAATGAACTTGAGCAGAGGATTTCTGCAGATTTTCACACCCATGTATTTAGAAGGTATGGGGATGTCATCTGCTGTGATCTGGTCAGGCTTCGCGTGTTGAAATTTAATCCTCATAGTGAGTGTAAAAGGTGGAAACTTAATTGACTGTGGAGTCAGACTGTGTGGGGTGAGGCCACTGGGGACTGATCAGGATTGGTTACAGCCATGGGGCGCTGCCCCATGACTGAGCCTGGTGGCTTTATAAGAAGAGGGAGGGAGACCAGAAACACACACAGACATGCTGTCTCTTGCCATGTGATGCCCTGTGCCATCTCCTGACACTGCAAGCAAGAAGGCCATTAGCAGATGTGAGTCCTTGAATCTCTAGGACCTTTGTATTTGTAGTTATCTTAACTCAGGTATTTCATCATAGTAAGGAAAGCTGTCACATCATCCATGCAATTATGAATCAGTTCAAGGTGGACATTTGTTTCCCTCAGAAAAGAGCCCCAGACAACCTGGAGAAGCCATCAGTCAGAGCCTAGCTGGCTAACGTGGTGGCACTGAGGAACGGAAAAGAACACAAAGCCCCCAGGCCCGCTGCAAGGAATCCAAGGCATGTGCGAAGGCTGTGTGGAAAGAGACGCTTCTCAGCCCACAGCAAGAAGCCTTCTCATCGAGCAGCTCTGATCTCCCGGCTCAGGGCCTCACTGGGCCCCCAGGCCCTCCTTGTGTCTCTGAGACATTCTCCCTCCAGATGAACGTCTCAAGCCCACTAAGCTGAAACCTGCACCAAAACACTGGTCTCACTTTGATCCAGACTCTGCATCTTGCTTAAAACTCCCAGCGCAGTCCTTGTGCTGCCAGGGTCACGTGGTGCACCTGGGCATCCATCTCTGGGGCGAGCCCCTGCCTTAGGACCTGTTCCTTGACATCTGTGCTCTGGGGCAGGCTTTCCACTCCTGTAAACGCTACATATGCATAACAAAATGTCACACAACAACCTATGTCAGATCATCTAGCCTGGTACCCTCAGGGAGCACACAGACTTCGCTGATATTTCCCTCCTGGGACTAAGAGTCTCCTTCCTGGGCCTTGACCAGGAAATACAGGCTTCCTAACTTTAAAAAACGAAACAGTACTCTCCTTTCAAAATGTGAACATACATCATAAATTTTCTTAAGTCTTACAGAAACACAAGATCATTTTGATGAAGGTTCATCCATTCCAGAATAAAACCATCCCTTGCTTTGTAAATTCCAAGGTACTGTTACCGGATTTACCAGTGTATGAATGCTTCCATATCTGTTTCCAGACAAGTCATCATATGGGACATTTAAAGAGAATTTTCTTTGTTGGTCAGGAACAAAGGTGAGTGAGAAGGATACGAGAGCTTCAAAGAATTCCAGAAAAACCAGCTGAAAGATAAGCAAACACAAGAGTCTCACTCATTCGGATGCACTGAGAGGTGGGCCAGCGATTGACCTGGGAGTAGTTTTTTTTTTTGGTTTTTTGAGACAGGGTCTCGCTCTGTAGTTCAGGCTGGCCTTGAACTCACTATGGAGCTCAGGAAGGCCTTGAACTAGTAGTGGTCCTCCTGTCTCAGCCTTCTGAGTGCTGAGATAGGCATGTGCCACCATGAGCAGCTGGAGTTGATTTCTTAGTCATCATTTCTGACATTGGCATTGCCGTTTTTCTGGGCGTGGTGGTGCACGCCTGTAATCCCAGCACTCGGGAGGCTGAAGCAGGAGGATCATTGTGAGTTTGAGGCCAGCCTGGGCTACATAGTGAGTTCCAGACCAGCCTGGAATACACAGTGAGACCCTGTCTCAAAACTGCAAAAAGAAAAATCTATTGCAATGCCCTTCTAATATTAATCTCTAGTATTCTAATGCAATCAAGGATATATGTACACATATAAGTATGTATGTATGTGTGTATCATTTTATGTATTTGGATTCAGACTATTTTCCATCAAATCTTGGTTCTTGGTATCCAAACCAAAACAAACAACCTGAATTGGATTTGTACCATTTTGACATTGCTTTACAAACCTCAAGTTCAAAGTTGCTGTCAATTCCATCATGTATGAAAGGATTATCCTCTGCTATTACTGCCACAAATTTGGTTGCAGTTAATTCTTTATTTATCATTTTAAAGTCCTGTAAAAGAAAAATAAACAGCCAAAGCATAACTTGCTATAATTAGAGGTATATATTTTAATGTCAATAAACTGCTTTTTAAAAATATACCAGAAGTCATTGTCTTAAAAACTGATCATTTGATTTTTGTTTTTTGAGACAGGGCTTCACTCTGTAGTTCAAGCTGGCCTTGAACTTGAGGCGATCCTCGTGCCTCAGCCTCCCAAGTGCTGGAATCACAGGTGTGCACCACGTCCAGCTACCAAAAACTGACCATCTTGAGCAGTATTCTGGAATAACGTGAGTATTTACCTCTCTTTTTCCAATTCCTCTTAAAAAAACAAAATTAAGCATTTTTTTTTTTTTTTTT